CACCACAGACTGTCTGTGTCATGGCGAATACAGTCGCTGCTTTATTTATGTCTGTATAGGCCGTTGTTGTGAGTGTGGACGGTCGGAGCATATACTGCGTTAGCTTAGCCGATCTCCATTTAGACAACATGCATTTTAAAAGGTTTTTCGCCTGCCGTCTGTCTGCAGACTTGTCAAAGCATTAATTCATGGTTTTTACTAACCGGTATCAGTATGTTGTTACTTCGGCATCATTTTGAAACGTGTATTACAATTAAATATGTCAAATCACGGTCAAATATGTTCATCTTGTTGTAGATGTAGCTCCCTTGCCAGCGATTCTCTCTCTAGTTTAGCATACTCAGCCCGACTCAGCCTGGTTGTTGGCCCGGAAAGAACCTCGATTTTATGGGGCCAGAAAAACTGTGAAATAGTACCCGCTAGCCGGTACTACGCTAAGTGGAAACGCAACCAAAAACGGGCCCCGCAAGGCTCTGCACGCTTAAAGCAAGCCCCGCGCTGTAGTGGAAATGCGCCATTAGTATCCCTTTCATCTCCAAACACCAGCCACACAGGCCAGGGATCTGTGGGAAAACACTGACTATGTCCAAACTATGCAAACTAACATTTGAAAAACCTTTTTCTATCCCTTCCCTAACCCTAGAATCCAGTCGGCAGGTAGGTGTCAAATATAACATGATGGATAAGATGTCCCCCTTCCCCCCACAGCAGCCCAGCCCCTCACTCACAGCTGTGGGAGAACTCACTGCAACGTAGAGGTTTCTGGTTCAGGAAAACCAGTTCTACCCACATTTAGATGGAGATCACAATACACACTAGGCCATCTTTATTTAAATCCTCTTTTAGGTCCATCCACACTAACACTTCTGAACGACAGGAAAACGTCTCAATCTATTCTTCTTTTTTCACCTTTCGATTGAAAAACAACAGAATTTTGCATAACAATCAAAAGTTGGTAAGGGGGGTGACTTATTTTGATCACTTCCAGACAACAATTTAGTCGTTCTCATTTACATATTTTCCTTTTGTTTTGTGAGACAACTGAACTATAGCAGTGATTCGATCTCATAAATGCTTCCCTGTTAGCCTCTGTGAACGGTAATTCCTGTGCTGCTGCTCAGGGACTTTGATTGATTGTTGAATTTTATGATTGCAAAGTCGTCAGAAAAAACATACATACAGTTAAACTGCAACAAATATGACTTTCGATCAGTATATTGACATAAAATGAGTGCTCACAAAGACTTATAGGCCATTAAGCCTACTGATGTATGACGGTTGTGATCTAAGGGTTGACTTCATGTCATCCCAGAACATCCCTTCCACTAACACATCTTGTCTCTCCATCAGTATTGTCTAAAACTCTAACTTTTAGAAAGACGAATAAATAATGTTCAGTCACTGACAATAACAAATGCACACACAAAAAAGTATGAAGGCAACAGTGCATGAACACGAGTATTTGTCATGTCATGCTTATGATACGGTTAAAATGAATTATAGCTACATTATGTATTTCTCTCTATAGGCTCTGTATATGCTGTGGTTGCTAGAAAGACATATATTTCTGTTGCGCTGTGCTCACACCTTCCTCAAATTGTAAATGACCCAGATTCTGCTGGCACTGTTTCCCCCACAGTCCCCAAACTACAAAAAAAGGAAAGATTTTGTTCTTGTTTGTATGTATGCGGGTTATCAGAGCTTGTGGGACTTTCTTTGCCTCCTCCAGAGCAACTGGTGTTATCGCAGACAGCCGTGCACCAGCTCCCACTCACTTTCCTGCGGCTGTGGCCCCCAGGGCTACATCCAGCAACAGGGACCCATACTGAGGGCCCCATTGTCTCCATCAGCATACTTTCAGTTGAAAACCCAGGGCACTTTCTAAGCTCATTGTGAGTGAGCTAACAGCCTCTCTTCAAAAGGGGCTAAACGCATGTTCATTAATTATCTGGATCTTGTTAATTGGATTAATTGTTGAATAGAAACCGTGTTATTAAAAATGACGAAAACACAAGGGCAGGGGGAGCAAAAGGGGGATTAATATCGTTTCTGTTTACTCTCGGGCTGTCATAAGACACAAGCATGCACGGGCACACACACACACACACATTTAAGTTTGCTCTGTCTGGCGAACGCTGCGTCTCTATCTCTAACGCTGTATTTCAAACACGCACTATATGTGACCCAACTCAGAAGAAAAAGCACGAGGCAAGGTGCAAATTACCATGCACACCGTCGAGATAAAAACTAAACCCATTTTCAAAGCTCGGAGTAAATGCCAGATTCTTTTTGATGCAAGAAACTCTGACTTTTTCCGGCGCCTATATACTAAGAATAAGGCAGGAAAAATGAAAAAGAAACATAAAGTCGACACCATGAACAATTTAGCAATCTCCAAGTCACATGAAAAATGGGGTTCCTCATTCCCGCTGCCTATCTACACTCTCTTATCCACCAAAATCACTTATCAGTGTTTGACTTCAAGGGATGTTTTATCATTCTGGCTTTAAGATGTCACGCTGATATTGAGACCATTTGGATGACGGGACTAATATTGGCCTACATGTCCTGTGTTTTTGGTGAAGGTGCATCTGACAAGCCATTATGCAGTAGCCTTATTAAAGCTCCTTTCCCACTACACAATAATCCCTTTCCACTATCTAATGTTGGGATTTTGTCTTTAGGGGGAAAGGTCAGCATTAATTCCTGTGCTAAATGAATCTGTAGTTATCAGAGGTATTTAGGCAGTGATGGAAAAATGACACACTGATGGATGATATCATTTTCGTCCATGTTCGGGTGCTATGACGTGGCGTGTGTAGAAGTGAATGTATATATAAACTAAATGAACAGCGATAATAATGAATGTACTTGTACTTGTAAAATATACAAATAATGTAGTTTTCTTCAAACCACAAGAAAAAAATGACTCAAATGAACTTTGAGTGACACAAAAAGGAGTGGATTGCCTATTTTCAGTCTATTTTTAACAGACCTGCATAGACATGCTACATTGTGGCAATTAAATGGTAAATCCTTCTGGTTTAGAGCTATTAAATTCACTGGAGGAACATTTAAATTTGAATGTGGACAGTTGCCAACAAAAGTCCAAATTGAAAAATAAACTTAAGAAATTATGATTAATTTGAACCCTTTGTCTGAGACTCAACCTATAGGTTGGACAATATTTATAGCAATACCATACTAAAGCTGTATGTGTAGGGCGGATGAAGGGCAAAACAGCAGGATCCAGTAAATGTGTTGCATTGGTTGTTAAGGCAACTGCATCTGTCTTCCTGCTTTGATGTGGAGGCTCCTGTCGCTCGCTGCACTGCCAAATGCTGTTATCCAGGACCGGAGGAGAGATGCAAATATTTCTTTGGGGATATGTGTGTGGTGGTTTTTTGTGTGTAAGCAAGTTAACAATTTGTATATGTTGTACGTGTGTGGCATAGGCGTATGTCTTCGGAGTTAATTACACAAAGACACAATCTAATTAAACTTGTCCCAAGACATTACCTGATCTAGTTAGTTTTCTTTGATCAATTTATTGGACATGCTGCATTAAAACTGAGAGCTTGGACTTAATTTACTATTATCTATACCAACACAGTGGCGACAATCTGCTGCCAGAAGGTCATAGTGCAGCTGTTGGAGCATTCATGCACCCGGCATGAGGACTACTTTTACAAAGACATGAGTGGGTGACCAGTAACAAACAAATTAAAAGGCGGCCAAGGTCAGGGCTCATATTTAGCAGGGCCCCTCTCAGCCAACAGCTGTTCAAATCAAAACATACCAGTTGTGGTTTATTTTCACACTAAGCAGGATGTGAAGAACTGGAGGTAGCTAGTTTGTGTGTGTTCCATTGATCAGGGATGTTAATCTTCGGGGGATATAGAGAGGTCCTCTCAAGGACAGCACAATGAAAAGGCTCTATTGATTAATGGAGCGTTGATCAATCGGTCCCAAGACAGATAACAAGATGTACAAGTCACAAGTAACAAAATATATGTTGTGGGTTGTGGACAGCACAGGTTGATTAGTTGTTCATATTTTGGCAACCTAACATGAATCTTCCACATGCAATTCCTAACTAGCCTGATATTTAGATAGGCATTAGCAAGTCTACCTGTCAAACACGCACACACACACACACACACACACACACACACACACACACACACACACACCCTGTATACCCTCATTCAACCCACCAATTACTTACATCGGATTACTAGTAAACATAACAGATTGGTAGACTCATAAAGGTAATTTCTAAACAAGAATTAGACCTCGCAAAATGTATGTGACAAAATAAACTTCTGTGCTTTTAAATAGCCTACTAACTGGAATGTTGTTTTCACACATGATCGACAGCATGAAGGATAATGCTGCTGATCTTGTGTAACAAGGAGGGGGGAAGTGAGGCAACATAAAACCAGTTGGAACGGGTAAAAATGGTTATTTAATGGAGCAGCTGATTTTTTTCCCACAGATAAAAAAGAGCTGAACTACAAGAGAGGTGTAACATTTTAGTGTTGAAAATCAAAACGTATATATACAGGCAACTATAAAACAAACAAAGATATACAAATACAACCTCAGCCTTCTCCACTTTGTATTCACAATATTGTCACGAGTAGGCCTACTGCCTTCAGTGTTAAGGTCATGAGACCACTGACGACAGCGCCATACTGTTAGGGCACAGATAGTTTATTGGAGTCTAAAAATGTTAAAGTGATATAATATCTATATTCGTTAGGAAAAGAAATAAAGAAGTGTGCTTTTCTGTGTTGACAACACTTCAGGGGTATTATGTGCATGCCTGTTCACTGCACTACATTGGTTCACATGTCTGTCCTTCATTCCACCATTCAGCCTGCCCCGCCCTCCTGGCTCGGATCTGAGCGCTCATTGGTCCTCCCATTAGTCCCCCGAAAGCCCCACTGGCCAATAGCCGACGAGGAGGATGGAGCCTTTCCGGTGGAACAGTCGCTCGCGCCTACAGTGGTGGAATCGAACGTCCCCGAGCGCACACGGCGTATAGGAGAGTACGGCGCACGAGTCTCTGGAAGGAAGATAACGGTTTCTTTTTTTGCCCCCGCTCCACTCAAACAAGAAGAACAAACCAAACCTGCATTTTAGGGGGGTTTACAGAGTCTTCTCAGTACAAGGAGGGAAGCGAAGGATTGGAGCCGCAAGTTTTTTTTTTCTTTTTCGTTTTTTTCTCCTTTTTCCTAAAAGAGGGATTCTGTGTTTCACTGTGGTTTGTTCTCCGCTCTCGCCGCAAAGATGATGGTCGGAGAGGTCGAAGTGAAGGAGCGACCGAGGCCGAGTCCCGACTATTTGATGCAATTATTAAACGAGAAGAAGCTCATGACCAGCTTGCCAAATCTCTGCGGCATCTTCACACACCTGGAACGGCTTCTTGATGAAGGTAAGGGGCCGGGGAGGGGGAAGAGACCACGGTGCGGTCCGATATCTGCTCGGCTTCGCTGGGCGTCCATGCTGCAGCGAGACCCATACGCACACTGGCAACACAATATGCGGACCTAGGCAGGCAAACTAACACACACTTAATAATTCCTCACATCCAAACAGGAGACCCAGTTGTAACCCTGGTGACTGTTTCACCCTAAAACCACAGCGAGGTGGGGGATTTTAAGTTGTGTTGCTAACACCACGGAGTTTGTTTTTGCACTCCTCACTTTATGGCGACTAGACGAAAACTTTATCTCTCGCACAAAAACCAGAAATGCCTATCACTATCAGTGTATTAACAAAATCTAACAACGGAGAGGTTTTTAACCACTCTTTAGGTGTATCCAAACCGTGTCTCAGTTCATTTGGACGGGGCCTGTTTCCACATGTTCCTCAGCAGTTTTAGCTCGGGTTAGCCACATTTTTAGCTAGCGTGCCTGGGTGTCTACATTCCGTTGAACTCTTCAGGAACCAAAGAGCGTAGCGTTAACTTCGCTTTTAAATAGAGACTGAACCCGTGAAAAGAACGTGTTGGACACATGTCTAGAAGTGTTACAAAAGTTGTCTTTCGCTGTCTTTATTTTAGCAGTGAGGGTTGTGTGAGTTGTTGCCCAGCGGCCGAGCTTTAAAGCACGGAGGAATGTGTCTGCTTGTTGCCCAAACAATGGCCAGTGAGTTGCTGCTGGGAGGAGGGGGGAGTGCACGAAGATTATTCCAACGGTCTAACTTTTTCATTAAAAAGGGCAACGTTTATTGTCTCCCTCACACATCTACTACAATACTTCCCTTAAAGCAAGGATATATCGGTTACATCTCCTTGCTGCAGCAGTCGTCGTGTTTTTGCCATTCAAGCGTGCCTCACCAAAAATTGCGTCGCCTTTTTGTCGGCGGCGCCGTCCAGACGGGATTTCTCCCTCGTTGGTGTTTTCTACGCTTTGTCGCCGATCTTGGCACATGCGCTGATAGACGAGGATTATTCAACGTTTATGTAGATAGTATCAATAGCATAAGATGGTCTAAGCGGAAGGTTGTACCTATGCTTTATGTAACAGGGCTGGGGACACTAGAGAGCGCCACAGCCCCCTGGCAGACTGTCCCCGTCCTGTGGGTACTACCCGACTGGACACCATGACACTAATAAATAAAAACAATAGCCACTCTGAATACTTTTTATAGACAAGATGGGACATACGGAACAGTGCATACTTTGTAGTTTCGGTTGCATGTCTGGATGAGTAGGTTTGTAGTTGCCAAACCGGTCTGCAGAATTTGTCTTACTTCACTGATGAGTGATAAACAAAGCACTCAGACTTGTCACTGCTATAAAAATAAAGTTACATTTGTATAACATAATATAAATACCCCTAACCAAATGAAGTTGATCTTATCTAAAACCTGAATGTTGTTGTTCTACTAATTTGTTTTTCATCTAATTTGCCCATTGCCTGCCACAAACATTCGATTCAGGTTGAGGCATGCAGAAGTTTAAGGAGCTGAGCAGAACACGTGTTTTGAAAAAAGAGACACATTCCCGTGTTTGTTTGATGATATAATTCTCTTTGCACTCAGTTTGTCAACACAAGTATAAAGTTTGATCACACTCCACACCCCGCTTATGCCTACCATAAAGGAATTAATTTTTCGTTTTTCAAATACTTATTGGTTTCTTGAGCTCAATTGGAAGTTTTGGGTTTTTTATTGAGAGGAGAAATAGGGGGGAAGCGGACATGTTTTTTGTTCCTGCTCGCTTTTTTGGCTAATCCCAGCCCCTATTTACATAAAGTAAAGAAAATAAAAGGTATCATGCATGCACAGTGTGTCCCTCTCCTTTACTCCAAAACTCAGCGGTGCAGCTTTTGGCACACAATTAAAGTTAACCCTCAAGGCAATAAATATGTTTTTAGGTTTGTGTGATCAGCAGTGATTTTAAAAATAAAACAACACTTACTGGCTTTCCCTGTTTGCGAATCTTAAAAATAAAATAAAAAATCCAAACCAGAATAACCAAAAGTGCAGAAGTGATGGGCGATGAAAGAGGTTTACGCTTTAAAACCGTAAACTCTTATCACTGTTATATCCTAAAAAAACAGTTTGTTCCTGTGTAAGTCTCCAAATCACCTTCAAAGAAACTGAACATTTCCAACACAGCTGAGCTATTAAGCTATTTTCAAGTTTCCTGTGTGAAACTCACATTTTAAAGTAGGCCCAGTCACCTTTTTTGCATTTTGGCTTCATCCTTTTCCTTTATTCCACCAAACTGGAGACAAAAAACAATGCCCTATGCAGAGATGAGCTGTGCTCAATGCGGTAGCACTAAGTGCTTGTAACATGTATTTGTACGTTTAAATATGGCTGTTCTAATTTTGTCCATTACGGATTTCACAGATTTATTTTTTGCTTCACTTTAAAAAGAAGAAAGAAGTAATTTAGCTGATGTTGTTGGTGGAATTGATTCACTGGCCACTTTTACTTTAGAGAACAAGCTTTTTTAACATTTAGTTTGATGTCGGGCTGTACATTTAATTGTGTGGCTTTAGAGAAACATGTTTGTTATTGCTGTAGCTCAATCTTGTAATGAAGCACCGGTCCGTTGCTCATGTGCCGCATTCAACCGATAAATGTTCCCTCTTCTGGTCTTAAAGAAATCATGGCAGGGACACTTCCAACTCCCCAGCTCCAGTCTCAATCCTCCACAGAAGTCTGAGGTTTACAAGCGTTTCCACAGCACCAGCCCAAACTTCACCCTGCCGATAGTATTGCGTGTGTGTGATGAAAGCCACCCCAGAGCAGAGTGTCTCACTGTCTGGTTCCAGTTAGGGGCGGTTTGGTTTGCTTTACTCTTTGAAAGGGGCTGAAGCTCTCATGTGATTATCAGGGCCACCTTCCCCCCACTTTGTCCCATACTGATGAAATTCCCACCTAGAGTAAAACAGAAGGCACAATCCAGTCAATAAGCTCAAAAAGGAGAACAGAATGCTCAGTGCTTAAAGAAATAGCCCACACCTTTGACCTAGAACTTACAAAAATAGCTGTGACGTGTGTCTTATTTTAAAGTGTTGCATTGTTAGGCCCGGCTGTCAGGTGCTGCAAATCCTGAAGCTCAGAAACGTTTTTTAAATGTATTTGATTTTTGTAATTTGAGGTTAATATTTGCACGATAAATATTTTTTTTGATGAATGAAACATTGTTTGTTTCTGTAGTCTTTTCTGTGGCTTGCAGTAAAGATAAACATCACACTTTACTGCCATTTCCAGTCAGACAGGATAGTCTCCAGATGGGAATTGTTAACTTGTGGTATTGTGGTGTGAAAACTGTTGACGAGAAAAGTTATTTTATCTGGTTTGGTGTGTGTGTAGTTTTATAATCTGTGTTGCAGGAGACTTCTCGGTCCCGTTAAACACTTGTGTCTTTTTTGAATGCGAAGAGGAGAGAGCAGATGCTAAATGAAAAGCTATTAATTCCCAAGCAGAGGTAGAAACATAAGCAGTCATCGTGAGGTTATTAAAAAAAAAAGAAATGCCAAAGAGAGATAAAGTTAAGTCCTAATCTGTCAACAAGGCAACAGTCTCCGGAGGCACGAATGTGTTTGTGTGATATTGTTAAAATTACAATGACGGCAATTCTCTTCCGAGTGCAAACTGTTTCATTAGCTTAAATCTAACTCTGAAATTCCCTGCTTTTGTCAGACTTAAATGAGCCCAATAAACACAAATAATATAACTGGTTCCAGTTAAACGCTTGAAACTTTCCCAAATTGTCCATCTCTCAAGAGTATACCCTCTCAACAGCTGCAGTCGCCCTCACCCACCCTTCGCTTCGTGCATGTCTACACAGCTGTTTCCATGGCGGAAGAAAACTGACACCACCCTTGTGGTTACGACTGCACCCACCCCGCTTTAGTGGCTTGAGCGCCCCTGTTGCTTTCCCAATATATGTGTAGTCCCTCAAGGTCACTCTGGCCGATTGACAGGCCCCTTTTGAAACCCCCTTGCGTTGCAGTTGTTCATCTCCCTGAGGTGACACCGGCTATGGAGTTTTTTGTATTTCCCTTTACGATGTGCCAACCAACAAGCTGCTTCAAATTGCTATATTTTCTCTTGGCAGGAGGAGACAGCCCATATAACATCCAGAGATGTAGCGTGGAAGTGAAGTGCAGGCGATGTTGTCAGGACGCAAAGTATAGGAGAAAGGGAGAGTTTTCATTTGGGTTTGTGAAGTCTTTATAGGGAAAAGAATAGTTGGATTGATCAAAATATTTTTATTCCAAGCTCCCCTTTCCTTACAGGCTCATTTTCGAGCTGTGTTTGTATAGATTAAATGGTCCGTTGTTCCATAGCACGCTGTGTGGCGGAGTCGCACGGTGCATTGTACCATTTGTTCCTGCCTTCAGCCCCCTCTTTTGCATCTACAGTTTTGTGTCTGCTTGTTTGTCTCTGTGTGCCGTGATTTAACAGGACCTTCCCGGGAGAGCTGTCAGCGTTTGGAGGACAAACTGTCCACTGTGGTGCCTGTGTGGGGAACTGATCCTTTGGGAACAACTGTTTAGAGAACAGATTTTGATAAATGGGAGACTGCTCAGAGTCTGTGTTAGGTTTTCTACCTGATGTCTCATATTTCTGTCAATCTGTCTATATAGTTCTCCCAATTTTGTATTTGTCTGTCTGGCGGTTGCAGCGCTGTTCTCTCCTGCTGTTGGTTGACCCTTCACAAATCTCGGCACAGGGCTGGACCTGCATTAACCTCTGACACGCAATCAATTTAGTGGCTAACAAGACTGAGCACCGCTCGCAAAATAAGATACAGCTTAGAGCCTTGAGAGAGCACAGGAAGAGAGACATGGGGGTGTTAGGCCAGGACTGTTGTCGCAAGCAGAAACCTGTTATATTCCCCCACCCCAACCCCTTTCCCTTCTCCCCACATTCTCTCCCAAAGCACCACTTATAAGCTGGAATTTA